AGATGCGCCCCTCCAGTGGAGAATTTATGTGTAAAAAAAGAGTCATGTGAACCCATGGTCATCTGACTAAAATAGATTTATTATTTGTTATAATACTTAAATATATCTAGTATTATCTGAAGGCACAATCAAAAGAGATTGAGTGGTTCACTGGTTGAGAGCTAGTCCTAACTCCATCAAGTCAAGGGATCAAATCCCACTTACTGCCATTTGTTTCTTTTTTTTAAAAAAATCTAGAGCAGCCTTCCTTATAAAACTGCCCCCTTCATTTTTGTTTTTTTAATATCTCTGATGATATTTTTTGTGATAATATAATTAATTATTTGCTCGCCAAGTTGTTGTCATCATAACATAAAAACTTAATTTTTTTTTAAGAAAAAAACAAAAGATATGAATCCTCTAGTCCAATTGTTCCTTTGAAATTTATATCTAATCTTTAAACAATGGTGCACCCGTTGTCTTGAATCCTGGATTCATCTCTAGCCTGCCCAATCCTCAAAAGAGAACGTAAAAAGGAAACGAGCAGCAGGATATTCGCATCAGCTATTCTATTATGCTATTTACCATAAATATGACAAATCCCTCAGTAATGGAAAACATCTGCAGAATGCAAACCACTACACATTTTAAGGCACTGGGCCAAAATAATTTGTCGTTCACAAAGTCTCGTATGATTATGAGATGATAATACAGAGATACAGATCTTATGCCATGGAAACCTCATGGGAAGACAAAGTGTTAGCTTTGGGTAGTCTAGGAAGGAAAATCTAAATCCAGGGTCTACACAGGAAAGAGAGAACCCTGCTTCAGGCTGCTCTATGCATTGCTGATTTTTTTCATTTTTAGGAAAAGGGAACTGAACCGGAAAAGAAAGAGGACAAAGACAAGATAGAGAGAAAATAAAGAGATTAGATTCAGGACACTGCTATAGAACTCTAAATTTGAAGTCTACTATATAAACTGTAAATTAAAATTTCAAGGAAAAAAAAAAGGCTAATGACATGTTGGCATCTTTCTTAAAACTAAGAAGCAGACGATTTTCTTCACTTTATACATCGACTAGTAGGTAATAAACACAAGGAGTTAATACAATTGACAGCTGAAACAATCATGGGAAAAAAATTTAGGTAAAGCAAGTGTGATGTTTACAACATGAGAATATCGAGGAAGCATATGGATCTCACTTAATTTTTGAGCAATTGAAGCAGCTTCCGCAACACGACTATCATCAGAAAATAAAGGAGAAAGTTCCATCAGGTCTCCTGGACTGCCATTGAACTCCATCAAGTACTATCAAAGGAAGCAACTAATACTGTCAGTTTTAAAATGAGGATAGAACTTGTTTTACAGCATGAACGAAGTAAGTCAGAAGTTCTTTCGTTAACCGAGAAGTTAACCAGTAAAAGTTTACCTTTATGAGCTCTATCGTCTGACTAGCAACTTCTCTCTGAGCATCTGCACTCTGAACACAAAAGGAGATTCAATATATTCTGAAAATACTAACAGCATTCTCTGATGACATGGTCTTAAACAGCTTGGAAAACAGATCAACATAAAAATTATGGAGTTGAGCAAAAGATTCTCTTTCTTTCTACTCATAAAAGTAGGCATTTCATTATCAGTAGGAGAAACACACAGTAAAAGTGGAAGAATATTTTTCTGGAAAAAAAAACAAGTTGCACTTGACCATAAAATAAAAACATTAACCTTAATCAAGCATCAAAACAAGTGCTTACAAGACTTTCAAAATACAAAGAAGGTATTAAGCAGCTATACCTGTAGATGATCTCCTATTTTGGCAGCCGTTTGACCCACACTAGATATACGCAAGTCCAACCGTGCAAAGCTATCAAACAAGCCGTCTACACCTTTTTCCAGCTGCACAATGCAATGTTCTTAAACTTGAGGCCTTTATTTAGGTAAAAAGAAGCTCCACACAGCATGAAGGATATTGAACACCTTTGGAAGTACACAGGGAAGAGAGAGACACTGATCGAAACAAGTGGATCAACTCTCATTTTCATAAAACAAATTTCAGAAGTATATTGAAAACAGCCCCATACATACTGTGATTTAAAATGTTACTCAACATCATTTTGTCATTATTTATTCTATCAAGACACTTATTATGGGGCAGAGTACAACACAATGAGGTAATTTATTACAAAGATATTTTCCAGAAAAAATATTTCCGATGACTGAAATATTAACTTCATCTCATAATGGCCACGATACTGAATTCAATACACTAACCTCAGAAAGTGTCTTCCGGTGCTCTGAATCTTGGACAACAACTTCCTTTTTAAGATCACTAAGGTTCCCATCAATCTTTGATTAAATATGAGGGGATTAGAATAAAAGTCATCAGCAAAAGTATTATCTCACTGAATCCACATATAATGCTTTACCATACCTGTTTTCTTAGATCAACCAATTGTTTACAAGAATTCTTAAATAAGGATAATAAAGCATTAACTTCAGGGAATAGGGGACTTGACAGTCCTTGTGCTGACTTTCCCGCATCTGGTGGTGCTCGCAAATTCCCATTTGGTAGAGCATCACTTCCAACACCATTTCCATGCCCTTCCGCAGAATCTGATTCTTCTTCTTGATAAGAAGGCAATATCTCATTCACCAAGTTACCAAACAAGCCATCAAAGGAGAAAGCCCCCTGCATTTAGTAAATAGAGCACATTGCTGTCAGTTAACTACAAAATTTCTAAAGCTTAAGTTGGGATAATCTTCCAGTCAAATTAAATGGTATCCAAGGCATCACCTTAAAATCATCTATGTCAAGAACAAGCGGATCAGAGTCGGCAGATGCAGATCCTGAAAACCTGTCAGCCGTCATTCCATCTCTAGACTCTCTCATCTATTCTAAGTCAAAAGAAAATGGAACCAGAAATTATCTCAGTCATCTTCACTAAATAACTGGATTGCAATCATTTGACAAGCAGGAAAACAAAGTTAAAAAGTAGCATAAAGTTGGTGTACAACAGAAGAACTGTGATCAGTCCTCATTTATTCATTGAAAACAGCTATATGACAGACAAGTAACGAAGAAACAGGTAGCAACAAAAAAAAGTGAATTTTTTACTAATATAAATTATGCAAGGGAAAAACAAAAGCCGCAAGACTTTCAGCAATTTCATACAAAATCAAAATTCAGATGAGATATAAGTGTGCATATTTGCCATATCCATTAACTACTAGATCTGCTCTAGACTAACCTTATACTGAGCAGGGACACTTTTTTACCGATTAAATTCTAATTTTATTAATAAGGGAGAAAAACTCCCGTATATGAGAGGTATACCAAAAAGAGTAACGAATATAGAAAGATATGATTCTCTACGAAAGACATCCAATATTCTACAGAAATGAGAACTTCATAGGTGCAAGCAAAAGACATTAAAAACATGAGGTAACCTCAAATGTACAAAATCAAGCTTTTTCCCTACAAAAACTCTCTTATTTCTCTCCCTCCATATTGTCCATATGAGTGCTTATGAAACAACATGCCATGTCTAGTACCTGGCATAGTCCATTGTATCATGAACTATCTTGAGATCTCCCACCCATACTCGTGATGCTCCCTGACAATTCAGTAAGAGATGATCCACATCCTCTTCTAAGTGTTTACCCTTGTGCACAAACCAACATATGTAATCAGAATCCTACTCTTTCTCAAGTTTTCAACCATCAGAATCACACCTCTAACCGCCAACCAAGAAAACAAAATTCATCTTTCTTGGCACCATGGGGATTCAAACTAATAGATGAAGGAAACTTGATTTCTCAAACTAGAAATGTACAACAATAACTCCTCACTGAGCAGGAACAGATATTTGTTCTTACATCACCTTCAACTAAATTCTGATGTCTCATTTAAAACAACCAATACCTTATAGCACTCATCCTGATGTTATGGATATCAATGATACATGTGTTCTTTTTTTAAACTGGTAACATTTGTATTTCATATAGTACTTAGGTAGTACTGAAAAACATATTTATTTACAAAAGCAGAAAGGAAGTATAATCTATCCAAAAACTGAACCAAATCTAAATGGATCCTAAAACATCTATGATTGACTCAGTTTCATTGGAGTAGACATTTGTACACCAAAAGCAAAACAACAAAATACACTTGAGCTTTACTTCCTGGAGGTTGTTGTTCCTATTCTCAAAATATCTATCGTTCTCTCCCTCCATATAGTCCACCAAATACTTTTTTGAAACTGGTAACATTTGTATTTCATATAGTACTTAGGTAGTACTGAAAAACATATTTATTTACAAAAGCAGAAAGGAAGTATAATCTATCCAAAAACTGAACCAAATCTAAACGGACCCTAAAACATCATGATTGACTCAGTTTCATTGGAGTAGACATTTGTACACCAAAAGCAAAACAACAAAATACACTTGAGCTTTACTTCCTGGAGGTTGTTGTTCCTATTCTCAAAATATCTATCGTTCTCTCCCTCCATATAGTCCACCAAAAACAAGCAGGGATCATCCTCCATCTTTCTCTGTTTGTAGCCCCCAACTCCCAGCCATCTCCCAACTGAATAGAGTCTCATCAATCTTGCTAGGCATTCTCCAAGATATGCCTCTGAGATTAAGGAAAATCTGCCACAGCTGCCCAGTAAAGTTGCAATGTAAGAAGAGATGTCTCACTGTCTCATTAGCCTTACCACATAAGGAACGTCTGTTGCATAGAGAGATTCCTCTCTTGGCCACATTATCCAATGTCAAAACTGCTTCATTGGCTAGTAGCCATGTAAAGCATGCCACTTTGTGTGGCACTTTGATCCTCCAGATTTGCTTCCAAGGCCATTTGAAGCCTTGAATGCCACCAAACTTATTTGTTTGTATCCTTCTTTCACCTTGTAACTACCTTTGTTGTGCCCCTGCCACCATAAATAATCCTCACTTGTTTGTATACCTTGGAAATTCTCTAGAACCTTAAACAGTTCAAGTATTCTGGGAATTTCTTAGTCATTCAGATTTCTTCTAAGGATCAGATCCCAGCCTTGTTGTGTCCACATTTCAGCGACAGTCTTCTGTTGGTGTTGAGCCAATGTAAAGATGTCAAGAAAACGATCTTTGAGGCTCATACCACCCATCCATTTATCAAACCAAAAACTGGTTTTTCTGCCATTTTGTACCTTGACAATTGACTGATTACTCAGGAAAGGCCAAAATATTCTGGTGGATTTCCAAAGGCTAATCCCATAGGGGGTATTTACCTCTTTGGTTACCCATTTATTCAGCTCCTCATACTTGTTGTTGATCACCCTATACCATAGTGCTTGATCCTCCTGGTGGTACCTCCATAACCATTTCACCTTAAGAGCTTTGCTATGGTTTTTGAGATTCTTGATACCTAATCCACCTTGCATCTTACTTCTGATGATGTGTTCTTCCACTTGACTAAGTGAAAGCCTTTTCTTTCCTTATTTCCTTGCCACAGGAAGTTTTTTCTAATCTAGTCCAACTTCTGAACTACTGACTGGGGAATATGGAAGAGCATTTAGAACCAGAGTTTATCAGAGTTAATCTACCTCCCAAAGAGAGGTATTGTGATCTCCATCTAGCTAGTGTCTTTTCGCATTTCTCCAATATTGGGTTCCAAATGTCTATGGATCCCGACTTTGCCCCCAAAGGCATGCCCAAGTATACTGATGGCAGAGTACCTATCACTCCTCCCCAAGGTTTGTGAGAGGTGTTCCATATCTGGAACCACATTAATTGGATACAAATGGCTTTTGTTCTAGTTTATATGTAGTCCAGATATGGCTTCAAAGTAAACTAGTATAAGTCTCAAAATCAGCAATTGCTCCTCCTCAGCCCCACAAATAATTAGTGCATCATCGGCATACTGCAGGTGTGTGATCTCCACACTATTCCCAGCAACCTTACTGACTTCAAATCCATGTATTCTTCCTGTTGTCTTGGCTATCTTCAACATATTGTTAAGCCCCTCCATAGCTACGATCAACAGGAAGGGTGATAAGGGATCCCCTTGCCTGATTCCTCTGTGTGCACTGAAAAAGCCTTCAGGAGATCCATTGTTGAGTACTGAAAACTTAACAGTTGAAATACAAAACTTGATCCAAAGGATCCATCTGCTACCAAATCCCATCTGTCTCAACATAAATAGAATGAAATCCCAATTCACATGGTCATATGCTTTCTCAATATCAAGTTTGCATAGTATACCAGGTTTCTTCTGGGACACTCTAGAATCAATTGCTTCGTTAGCTATAAGCACTGCATCCATTATCTGTTTGCCTCTAATAAAAGCCATCTGTTGTTTGTCTACCAACTTATTCACAACTCTCTTCAACCTTTCTGTCAAAACCTTGGGCATTAGCTTATAGAAGCTTCCAATTAAGCTGATGGGTCTGAAGTCATTGAGTTCCTTTGCTCCTATCTTCTTGGGAATCAGTGTTATGTAGGTTGCATAATAGCTCTTTTCAAACATCCAGTTGACTGAAAATTGTGGAAAGCCCCCATAATGTCATGTTTAATGATCTCCCAGCAATTAAAAAAAAAAAAACCATTGTGTATCCATCAGCACAGGGGCTTTGTCTATAGCACACATTTTTAAACACTCAAGTACTTCTTGTTCCTCAAAATCTGCCAGCCACCCTCTGTATTGGTAGGATGATAATGATACATGTGTTCTCAAAAAGCATCTAACCATCTATAGGCTTATTCCTAGTTCGAAGAAATTCCAAGGTGATTCATAAAAGACTTGAATCAGCCCTTGTCGCTAATAGGATAGCATGTTCACAACTGCCAGAATAAGTTATACTTCTAGGCCAATCAAACTCACATGCTGGTGGCAAAGCAAAATCACAACATTAAATATCAGTGGCACTTGCTATTATTATAAAAAATTTGCCTATGTGAGCTCGCTCACATTGCGGTCCCAAGCCAGGATAAAGGAAGAGAGTGGTCAATCCGAAGCAGCCTCTCTACCCTATAAAGGTAGGGGTGAGGTTGCGTACATCTTACCCTCTCCAGATCCCACTTGTGAGATTACACCGGGTTTGTTATTCTTGTTGTTGTTGTACTTAGTATTATTATAAAAATAGAAGGTTGTGATTAGTCCAAAGGGCGGCGGATCACAGACGGATTTCTCGGTTATCAAAAAAAAAATAGAAATAATGGAGATGGAAAGCTGAAATGGCATATGACCATGTAATTGACAATTCCCACCAAAGTTGTAAGATCCATCGGCATTGTCAAATATAGTCTGGTTGGAGTAAGCTTGTATCTTATCTTTCAAACTAATTACCAACCGCATACCTAGCAAGCGATTCCTCCCCTCTTTGTATGGAAAAGCTTTTAAAAGCCTATTAGTTAGTATTAGTAACAAAACTAGTTAAGGGGTTCGTAGTTGTCGCAATCGGTTAATTTAGTTGATCTTGGCTTTGCAGCAAGGAGACCCTTTTCTTGTATAGCTTCTAAAGGTTCCTTTTAGTTTCTCTTGGCTTTGAGACAATATCCTTTATTTTATTTTTTTATAAGACAAGTTCTATTAAAAAGGTACCAATATGGAACAAAATTTAAAAAAAAACCCAGCAATAACCACAACAAGGTAACTACATTCCTCCCATCTACTCTAGAAAAAACATATATTGTTCCATATTTTTCTATAACATGTCTTTTAGACCATAAATACAAAGTTAATAAGCATCTATTTTTAATCCCGGATACATGATGCATTTACCCTTCAAAGAAAATTCTATTTCTTTCCAACCATATTGTCCATAAAAAACAGAGAAATTTTTCTCCATACTATCTTTTGTTTTTTGCCATTGTTTGGTGTTGCCATGTCTCCAACAAACTCTTTATACCTGAAGACATTTCCCACTTGACACCATATATGTTTAGGAAGATCTCTCAGCACTGTCTTACCACTTTGCAATGAATGAGTATATGATTAACCGTATCTGCTTCTTTTCACATGTAACACCTATTACATAGAATACTTCCTCTCTAATGCAAGTTCTCCTAAGTTATGCAAGCTTCCTTTGTTGCAATCCAACTAAAACAAGCTACTTTAACTGATGCTTTTGGATTTCCATAAATTACTGATTGTGATAAAGCCCTTGTTATTTTTGTAACAGACTATAACATCAGTTGACTGTGAAAATACCATCATTGCTTGCTTCCCAGATTAATGAGTCTTTCATGTTGTCCTCCAATCTAGTGTCATCAAAAGCAAAAAGTGCAAAAAAAAAGCTCTAAGGCATGTTGGGGCTTTGAGTGCAAACCGCAAATGAAAAGTGAGCTTTAATGAAAAAAGGCGCAAAGGGAGACTCAATACAAATACATAAATGTTTAGTTCAAAACTAATAATTATAAGTATGAATGACAAATATATGAACAACGAAATATTAAAAAAGAATTAGGATAAAGTGAAATATCAATTGTTTAGGGTCGCCTCTTCTGAAGAAACTCATTGGCAAGGAAAAGTATGTCTCAAAACGTTGATGATGACATTGAAGCGCACATTAAGCGAGGCGAAGCACTCAACACGTTCTGAGCCTCGCTTCAGGACTTAAGCGTGCCTTCGACAACACAGCTCCAATCCAGTGTCCAATAATTGCATCAATCAAGCAAATTCATATACTTCCCATTGAGAGACCCCTCCTAAAGATAAGCTGTCAACCAATGCTTTAGTACAAGTCAGATACCTTTCATTTTGTTTGTGGAGCAGCTATACAAAACAAAGAACTTTGATCTAAAACTTTCACTTCCCAGCCATACATCAGACAAGAGTTGGGCATTATTAACATTCCCTAGTTTCAGTTTCACAAACTGATTATATTGATTCATTAAATTACTGATTGTGCTCCACACTCCCCACTTAAAAGAAGATTTAACTGAGCATGGAGCCCACATGTCTTTCCAACCACACTTGGCATCTATCAACTGTTTCCATGATTTTTGCTGTCATCATTATATCTCCAAAGCCGTTTAAATAAAAGGCTCTTGTTATGCAACTTTAGATTCCTCACTCTCACCCCCTCTTGGAACAAGGGACCTACTTCTCATCCTAGGAGTAAGCAGGTAGAAAGAATCCCCTCTCTTTTTTTTTGTTTTCTTTCATTTGACCAAATGGAACTTTTGTTATCAACAATGTTATCAACAATGCCTTCCCACAGAAATTTCTACCTCTTAGTAATCAACTTCTTCTCCACTGCTGTTGGCATTTTAAGAGAGACATCAAATAAATCGGTATACCATCCATGACACTGTTGATCAGTGCATGTCAACCCCCAAAAGATAAATGTTGTCTCCCATGGCACCAGTTTACTGCTACACCTATCCAGGACCCCTATCACATCTTTGAATTCTGTTTGCCTCCAGGTGGTAGGCCTAAATAGATGGTTGGTAGTTGCTCCACCTTACAGCCCATGACATCTGTCAGATCATCAATACAATGCTCAACACTAATACTAAACACATTATTCTTGGTTCAATTACAAGCCTGATACAACCTCAAAAGCTAGTAATACTCCTCTGAGATGTAAGAGTTTATCTTTTTTAGCCTATGCTTCTTTAGCTTATTCTATTTATTATAAGTCTTGAGCAAGATGTTGAAGAAGCCATTGTCGACAGATTACTCTCTAAATTACAAGCCAAAGATGAACAATGTACTGTCCCAAGATTGAGGATTGCGGAAATCTGATAACCATCATCTATTTACTTTTTCGCTAACAGTGCATACTTCCTGTACCTTAGATGAGTACAAATGCTGAATGGCACTTAATGTTGCATCAGAGTTGCGTTGAGATTACGCGTCATACACATAACATAAGTTCATTCTGATTAATGATGTTTCAAATATCCAAAATCTTGCTAGTCTTTAGGGGTTGTGAGTATCTGCATCTCCATCTAGGCTCTAGATGCAGCACTAAGGTTTTGGTTCCTATGAGTTCAAATTTTGGCAGAATGATGGCTGCCTTGGGAAAATCATACCTTTCTAGCAAAAGTAAGTCATTGTGCAAACCTACGTGTGAAAAAGTAATAATGCCTCTAGAATAACTGAAGGGAAAAGAGATATTACTTAATAGTAGAGTGAAGACAATACTCTCCTCACCGTGGGTAATTTGGGTATTAGATTCTGTCATCCTTCAAGTAGGCAAGTGATTGTTGATGATTTTGGATATCCTCCAACAAACAGAGAGTAAGTGGAGGGGAGTAGCTGCAATGTACTACGGGACTAAAACATATGACTGCCATTCTTTAGCATTTTCTACATCTTAAGTTAGTGGAGTATGGAGAGTTTTTCTTCTTCTTCTTTTGGGTAAGTAGTGTAGTGGACTATGGAGAGGAATTATTGAGGGAAAATTGAGTTCTCCAAGTTCAATAATTTCATGGT